CAAATCAATCCTCAAATGAGGATTAATTGGGAGATATTTTGGTATTTTGATAATCCAAATTTAAAGTATATTTTTGAAACAATCATTTCTGTACAACTAAATGTAAAATTTAAAAAATACATTGAGTATAAATAATTTATGAATTATTTAAAACTTAAAAAAAATCTTTTAAATTTCAAATCAAATACACATCTTTAATTAGAAAAATCATTTTGGGAAAGCATTTCATTAAAATGATTATTTTAAGAATTAATTCTAAATTTAGCAGAAAGAAATAATCTCAATTAATCCTCATTTGAGTAACATTATGTGTGAAGGACCATCTTGGAGATAAATCTCAATTATAGAGACCACTTAGGTAATTAAAACTTATTGAGGACTGATTTGGAAAAATACCTTATTACAAAGGACTATTTTGGGAATAAATCTCAATTATAGAGGACCATGTTGGTAATTAAAACTTACTGAGGACTAATTTGGGAAAATCCCTTATTACAAAGGACTATTTTGGAAATTTACTCTTAAAACAATATAAAGAAGAATTTAAAAAGAAGATTAAAAGTTAAAGAGGCACTGATGCCCATGTGGATTGAAAAATAGACATCAACCCCCCCCACCCAAAACGCAAAAATGAACGGAAAATAGCACGGACGTAGGTAGTGTAGGTGCAACCTTTTGAAATGATATACATTTTTTAAATAAATTTTAAAAACAAATGGTGTATTCATACCTATTTTTCAGACCACACGGAGCACTAAAACTATTTTTATATACTCTAATAAAAAATATATGTGGTCATTCGGTATTTTAAATTATAATTTTTTTGAATATCAAGATTTAATTTTTTTCAATCCCCAATTCTTACAATAATATTCTTTCTCTATGAAAAACTATGTTCCAATAAAGAAAAATAAAACCCAAAAAGTCCTACTAATAAAGATGATGAAAATAATTGTTTAAAATTTATATTTCCTTTTTGTAAATATTTTCATTCAAATTTTTTTTATCCTTTATTAACACTCCTTATTTCATAAATAAGACTATCGATACTATGATACGAATATATATAATACTCCATATCTCAAATCATAATTTAATTCTTGATAGGTTTTTTTTATATTCCCTGTTATGTAGTTATGTATTTATGGAAATTATAATTGTTAAAAAAGTTATAGAATACATTAAACAATAAAGTTTTTCTTATTAAAAATTATCAAATATACTATTAAGACCCATAAAGCACTAATTTTCTTTGATGAATTTTTCATATTTAGTTAGGTGATATAAGATGAGCTATATTTTAGCTCATTAAATTTCCATACAAAATAATAGATTAATAATTTTTTTAAAATTATATTTTACTCAAAAGGCTTAATATCATTTTCATTTTTTATGAAAAAAAGACACATAGAAATCAGTGTTAGTTACTTTTTTATGAATAATTCATTTAAGTTTTGTTGGAAAATTATACGGAGAAATTTTTATTTCATTTACATAATTTTCAATAGATTCAAAAGTCCTTGACTTTTTAATATAAAATATATTGTTTTAAACTCATCAGATTTTAAAGTAATCTAAATACTTTTTCATAAATGACAAATGAGCATTTAAAGCATGCCATGTAATTTATTCATGTGCCATGCTATTAAAAATTTGTCATGTAAGATGAGACATGTCAACATCTTAGTGACATGAGAACGTATATTCTAAGTAGGTATTAAAAAGAAGGGAAATTATTGCACATATAATTTATACTTTATGCTATCAAAATTGTCATTTCCATTCCCCTATGGAGCCAAAGGTTCACTAGTTTTTGGCTTTGGGGTATGATGGAATAAAGCAAATTAGTTCTTTAAACTGAATACGCTTCTTGCAATTGTGAAGTACCCACTTAGTCAATGCAACTTTCGGCGCTCATCATGGGTCATCTAGAAACAGCTGCTCTATGTTTTAAACATAGGGGTCAGACTGCGTACATTTGACCTCCCCTTACCCCGCAATGGGCGAGAGCCATTGAGGCACTGGGGTAATGTTGTTGTTGTTGTTGCTGCTATCAAAATTGTCAATAACTATATTTTAACCATATACAAATAGAAAAACCATGGCATCTTTCGGCACTTTCATTATACTATACATAGGATAGGAAATATGTACATGAAGAACTGCATGCTTACATAGATGCGTGTTTCAAATAACTTGTTTTCAGTTTTATTATTTAAACTATTAGATTTATCCACTATAATTGTAAACAGTGACAAAGGCACTTTCCTTTTTCACTAAATTTGTTTGTGAATGTGGGTAATCAAATATAATTCTGATGCTGTGATTATATAAGTATACACTGAGGTTGTCTGTGGACACGTTTTAAAAAGGTGATCTTATAGGTAATTGCGATAGAACATATATAGAGTTGATGTGCTAGAATTGCTGTAAAATTACCTTGGACTTACGACCGGCTAGTATGCTCACAAAGTCATTCCTGTCTCTAATTCCAGAAGATAAAATGCGAATCATCTACGATTTTAGGGTAAAGCTCGAATTGGATATGGAGAATAGAGATTTAGAGTATAGAAATTACAAATACCTAACTTGAGGGAGAAGATGGTTATAGTGGTTGTGATTGTGAACGGAGATATAAGTGGTAAAGTTCTTCCTCATCACCTCCACAAAAGGTACAAGTGGTATAATTTGCAAAAACCTGCCTCAACCTATGAGAAGAGCACAAAAACTCCGGGAACTGGTATCCCGTATAAAATCAAGAAGAGTATGACCATCAAATCTGCCAAGAGAATAATCTAGGCGACGAGTAAATAAATGAATCCCCTTCTACAAGATTAGAAATTATGACTTAGGTAGTTACCTGTCAATCAGAATGTCTTGCGTGCCATTCCAAGGTATCCTGGTATAAATCATTGACAATATCAAAGTAAGCAGTGCTTTGGGAAGGAAAACCTTAGTTCTGGTAAAATGGTTGCTACAAAATCTATGGTGTAGTATCATGTTTTATTAGGTCCGGTTCATCATTTTCATTGTAAATTTATAATGGGAGATGACTATATCACATACTACGGTATGATATATTTTATGGCTCCATCCAAGCAATTTCATTATTACAAAATCAGAATTGCTTCGCAAGAAGTGTTTGACTCCTGACTGGGAGGGCATCTGGCTCAAAACACTGCACTTGTGTTTTTGGAATGAACTAATACTGTTGACTGTCTTTAGATAACCAGGGTAAGAAATTTGAGGCACATGATGAGGTGGATTTTGGATGCTTTAGTGAGGTGTGGGGTGTGACAGGCAGAGCCTAGAGGTATGGAACTTGAGGAGGGGTAGAGGCAGACCCATTACGAGCTGGAGAAATGTGATTAGTCAAGACCATTACTTGGTGAACTTTTAATTTCTACTAACTTGTTTCTTTTGTGCTTGAGCAGGGGTGTTTGGGACACAACCTCTCTACATGTTAAGGTTGTTCTATGTAGTGGTAAGGTCTGCATACACCTACCCGTCTGCATACACCTACGCTCCCCAGACCCATTTATGGGATCCTATTGCATTATAGTTGTTGTACTTTTTTTAGACACTTAATCTGCACTATAAGTAGAATCCTGTCACCGACCCCCACTGGTTGGGACTAAGTGCTAGCAAGATTAAAGGGGTTCTACATGGTGAGTAAAACAGTTTAACCTGAATGAATGCACTACCAATTCAATCCTAACATAAACACATCCTCTTGAAATCGGGGCACAAAATTCAGAAAATCGGAAGCATGTCATCACAAGTCCATGAATTTATCATTCTTTGACAATTAGAGTGATCTAGGTTACCACTAAATTGGGGCAATATTCAACACTCAATTCCAATATGATACAATTACATGAACAATAATTACAACATTACATTCATTACTAATGCATGCCAAAAGTCCATGAAAATTGCTACAGTTTGGAAAAGTTCATGATTATTGCAAAACTTTATGGGGGTTAGAGCGCACAAACGTGCAAGGAAACAAAAAATGCGTTATCAGAAGCTATATGTAAGAAATGAGTGAAAATTCATACATTCCCTGCTCATCCTCCGTCGCTTGATAGAGGGCATCATCGCGGTAGATGCGACAGCGGGTTCCGACGGCTTGGATATATTGCCGGGGGTCGCCCCGCCGCTTCGCCACATAGATTGCTCGACGCTGAGCTCTCTTCCGGGCGGCGTCCATCATGTCGTGGACTTTCTTCTCCGACTTCCTTGCTTTCGTGAGATTTCAGGTTTCGATTCCAGAAACGAACACGCTGCTGGCCTTCGAGATTCGTCTATGCAAGGAGCCCTAATAATTACAGAAACCCGATCCACTTTGTGTATAGATCCGCCATATGATTCTGATTTTAGGGCCTGTTTGGTTTTACTTTTGATTTTTTATTTTTTGGTTTTAATTATTTACTCCTAGTATTTATTTATTTATTGCTTATTTATTACCAGGATTTCAATATTTATTTTAAAATTTTATTTTTCTATTGTTTGTTTTTCTATTTTCATTCGTATTATGTTATTACGCAAATTAGTACGTACATCTGGATGTACGTAGGTTCAGCTCGCGTTTAATAGGGGCGAAAGGAAGAAATCGGCGATGAAGGAGGCTGGCCGATCGAAAGTTTGCTAGAAGCTGTGCAGATCTGTTCTTCGCGTTTGTATCGATTCTTGGGGTTTTACCTATTGATGATGCGGTGATGAAGATGAAGAAGGAAGACCTGGTAGGTTTTGCAGAATTGATCTGCGACTATGAAGAAGCTTTTGCGATCCGTGGTTATGACGAGCTATGAATGGTGGTATGTAGTTGAAAAATGAGTAATGGGCTATGTAGGGATGAGAACTATTAGGTTTTAGAATGTGTATTACATTATTTGTAAATGAATATTGTACAAATGTGTGAAAATGAGTACTACATTTTTTCAGAATGAGTAACATGTTTTTTCAAAATGAATGCTTATGTTGATGCGAGAATGAGTGCTACTTTACTACAGAATGAGTACTACCCGGATAAACTTATCTCCAGTTACATCCATATGTATCATATACACTCTTATGTTATTACTATCATCATCATTGTTGTTGTTGAAGTTAATTGCCTCGAGTTTCCTAGAGATTCAACACCATCTTTATACTCAAAATATCTTTTAATATACAAAGGCAAACGGAAAACATGAACAGTTTTTTTCGCCTGAGGTTTTCGGTTTCAGGTTGGATGAAAATCAATGTCCAATCAGGTATGGGCGGTTTTGGTTAATAATAATGGACAATTTTATGGGAGACCATGAAAACATCACAGCTTACGTCTTAGGGTGTATTTAGGAGGTTGCGGTAAAAAACACTTTAACCAAAGTTTAACTTTATAAATCAAACTTTTCCAATACTAATATTGATACCCTCCATTTAAGCTTTTGAATATTGCATCTTTTTCTCTATCGTCCATTAAAATTATTTCTCCAACTTATTTTACACAAAATGGCAGCGATATATGTTATAGCCGAATTGGGGACAAGGCTTGTTGGGACCGACAAGGACCGAAACAACGTTATTATCCATGTTCGAACTATTCATATTGACTACGTTTCTACTTTTGGAAGAACGGTTGAATCAATGGAGGTTGTGTTTCGTGATAATGAGGTATGTATCTTTTTTGCCAATCTTTCGAATCGATTTGTGCATTCATAGATATACAGTAATGAAACATAAACAAAGCATTTATGTTTTAGAAGTTCCTTAAAACTTTAATAACCCGTACAACTTGATGAAGAACATGTTCTTGAAATTCTCATTCATAAACTATAATGAAATAAAAAAACTAGCATAAATGCCTTAACGATGCTGACGATCTTTCCTAGTGTGTAACATGGTACTAGGATTCATTGCCAAATCAAAAAGTCGTACAACGCCTGTTAATTGTTGTTGGCGGTATTTTTGACATAAAAAACCTTTTGGTCTATGACAACTATTTATCGTTCAAAACAAAAACACATCGCTTTTTGTTGGCTTTCTACAGCCAAACAGGCATCAAGATCTTGACTCATCAAGGGTTTCCTAAACTAATATATGACTTGCGTCCTTTAAGAGTGTTTGGGATCTACCATTGAGTGAATACCCCTACTAGCTAGGTATTAATCTACTTTTAAAAAATCGACCAAACTATATCTATGTAAAACTCATGTTTTTTTCGATTGATTGGATGTGATTCAAAAGATCGTTGGTCATTCGAGGGTGCGAACACACACGATACTATAGATGAAGAACAAGCTCATGGACATGCATAACTATAGGGAATCATGGGTACGTTAAATCACATGTGTGTGTTTGAAATAGTGTGCGTCTATATATATATATATATATATATATATATATATATATATATATATATATATATATCTGTGTGTGTGTGCACAAATGTTTCTTTTCCAATGCTTTGCACAGTGGAAGGCGTTTAAATTACGCGTTGTGGGGTAACTTTGTGGATCAATTCAATGAATATATTAGCCAAGACCTACCTCAAAAAAGTGTTTCCAACACTTGGTTTTCACTTTAACGATGTGGTTAAGTTTTTACACTTGGTTTCAACATCAAAAAAGTGTTTCCAATACCTGGTTTTTTATTTGGAAAATTTTGATTTTTGACATCGGTTTTAGCCATGTCAGTAGGTTTCAAAACAGCGATATTAGATTTTGGACATCCATGTTTTGGCTAGGTTAGCGCACATCAGTTTTTGGGAGACGGTTTTAGAACAATGATATTCATACATGAACATCGATGTTTAGAGTTGACCATTGGGTTATTTAAAAAAAATCTTTCTATTTTTGAAATTCAACAACCCAAACATCGATATAGTCTTCAAAAAATCGATGTTCACATGACCATTATCAATTTCATAAGGAAGTCAAAGCCAAAATAACAATGTTCACTATATGAACATCGGTGTTAGGTAAGATTTTGTAGACCATTTCTTATTTGATTTCTACAAATCAAGCTAATCTACCCAAATCTTCTCCCGACCGTTGCACCCAAACTGTAACAGTTTCTTAAGCACTCGTAAGTTTAACGAAAAAGTGTATAGGGTAGCTCGAGAGAGTCTTTTGGGAGACTGAAGTAGCCACAAGTTGTCGTGAATCAGTGTACATCGGTGTGTTCTTTCCTTACGCTTTTAAATTTCGCTCTTTACTTTATCCCAACGATTTTTATTCCACAAAAATTTAGCAACACTCTTGTGCCTCGCTATTCACCCCCCTCTAGTGAAGTACACGAATTCTAAAAAATTTTAATTTTTTTTGTTGATCACGATAACATCAAATATTTTTGTCATTTTTTTGAAATAAATAAAAATGTTGCTTTCTTTATCCACTTTGCTTGGAACATGGGTTATTTTCGTGCAAGTTAAGAAATAAAAAATTGAAATACTGGTTTTAATTTTAACAAGTGTAAGAAAAATTAATAGTGAGTGTGTGTGACAAAAAACTTACTATACATATAACTAGTGTTTACCCCGTGCTTCGCACAGGCTCGTATATATTCTTATTTTTTGAGATTTTATAAATATAATTTTAGTTGTTTTAGTTTCTAATAGTGACAAAAAATGTTTTAGACTGATGGAACATACAGAGTATNAAAAAACAATTTTACAAAATTAATAATCATTGAATTAAGTACTAAATAGAAATGGTTTGAATTAATAAAATATTATAATAAAAAGTGGATCAGTTACATGCATAATGATACATCATTAGAGAATATATATGTATCATAATGTCATTTGTCAGTTGTCACCCTTTAAATTTATACAATCATTTTTCGAGAAGTAATAAACTAAAATAAGCCGTGGATAGTATAAAAATAATTTTATGTGTGTGTACTCAAAATATGAAGTTTATTTTACAATGGTGAAATATATATTCAGAATTATTAAAGAATGAAAAATTTTATACAAATGTATTAAAAGATATTTAAAATAGGTGCAATGCATATATCCACTTCATAAATGGGTGCACATGTGGATGCACATGTGGCATGCCACATGTCAACATTGCAACAACTAAACTCTCTTTTACATATATATATAGGATTTGAAATAAAATTGTTTGACATGGGAAAAAATAAAAATGAACAAAAACTAAAATAAGAATAGACAAAATTGAAATTTAAAAAATCTATGTAATATTTATTTCAAGACTTTTCATTTGTTCCAATTCCTTAAAGTATTTTAAAGTTCTAGTTTTTTAAAACTTCTTTCAGATTTTCAACGTCCTTTTAGCTGATTCAAACACTTTTTTCCAAGTTCTTATTGAGCTCTTATTAAATTTTTTACAACATTCAACTTTATTTTTTCCCATATAAAAGAAGAGGTTTTAAAAGTCTTTGTTGAATGAAAGCAAGACTACAGTAAGAGAAAAATACAAAAAAACCAAAAAATTACTCCATGTTTTTATTCTAAAATAAGACTTTTTTAAAATCGTGTTTATCCTTTTAATAATAAACGCTGCCTATTCCTCGCTAAAGTGTCACTATATAATGTAGGCTGAAATTACAATACTAATGCTGCCTATTTCTCAACTTCTCATACATCCGCATGAATACTCATTTTTGCCTAACTGAGTACTCATTTTAGAGCATGACGTAATTTTAGAAAAAAGAGTATTCTATTGCTCAAAAATGATTTTTTAGTTGCTCAAAAACGAGTATTTAATTACTCGTAAATGAATAGTCACTGTGATGTATATGCAATACCGTACCCCGATTGTGCAGTATATATTGAAATATATATGTCCCTCCAATCGTATATTTTTGGTGTTTGCATTTCACGCATCGAGAATGCGACTCGAGTTTGATAGTGGATTGGTTTCCATTTTCAAATCGCAAACCTACCAAAGCCCATTTTCCCATTCTTCATTCATCCTTTTATCTTTTGCTTTTTTTCTTTTTTCTTCTATTTGTTTATTTTTCCATAAAGTTTTTTTTCAAAAGTTTATTTTAAATTTTTTATTATGTTTAAAAAATTAATATTGTTTATGCTTAAAAAAAATATATGAAATGATAAAGATTAAAATATATTTTATCTATCTCAAATTAATCATTCTATTTGTTTTATAAAATAAAAAAATTAATTGCACATTCAAAAAAGAAAAATGAGAAATAGAAAAAGATAGTGAAATTTAAAAGAAAAAATAAAAAAAATGAAATGGAAAAAAGAAAAAGATATAAAAAATACTCCCTCCGTCCTAAAATTAACTTCCCGTTTGACTTTTCACGGTCTCCAATGCGGCACTTTGACCATTAATATCTCCATTTTTATATGAATATATATTATCAAAAATATACGGAGTATATTTCAAAATTATGTTTCAAAATGAATCTATTGATACTGAATTTATATGAAAATTCAATATATTTTTTCCGTAATATGCAGTTAAAGTTTAAAAACTTTAACTGCAAAAGTCAAAATGGGAAATTAATTTTAGGACGGAGGGAGTACTCTGATACTCTGATGGAAAAGAGAAAACATAATAATGGAGTGCGTTGATAAAGTTTTTTTTGAGACGTCCAATTTTTTTTCGAGATGTCTCAAAAAGGCTGTTGTTTTTAATTTTAAACATAAAAATCTTTATTTCACTTGTCGTCATGAAATAATAATATCAAAAAAAATTATACTTTTGGGTGTCTTTGAAAAGAACTTTATCACCGCACTTGATAACTACGTTAAGTTTTCTCTTCTCATAAAGAGAGTCTTTTTTTTGTATTTTTTTTATTTTTTCATTTCCTTGATCTATTTTTTTCATTATTTTAATTCTAAATTTCTAGTTCTCATTTCTTTTATCGTTCTAAAAAAGGCTTTTACTTTTTTTTAGAACAAAAATAATAAAAATGCTTAACTTGAGATAGATGAAATATATGTTAATTTTTTATTTCAAATGTTTTTATTTAAAAACAAACAATTTTGAATTTTCAAAGCATTATAAAAAAATAAAAAGAAATTATAAACGATAGGAAAATATGATAATGGACTTTGGTACCCAACCCCCATGTGGCTGAGAATGTGCCACCAATGCCCTCTTCTTCGCCCTAAAAGAAATGAAAAATATTTAGAAGAGATATTATTATGGTGTATTTTTTAAATCACGTGAAATAGTGGAAACATTTGCACATACTTTTTACCAAAGGTGATAATTTTGATAACAAAATCTAAAATCATTTCAGCTATGATTCTCGATTTCTATTTCCATATATTTAAAAAAACTTAAAAAATCAGATACTCCAAACGATTCAGATTAAAATTATTCAAACTAAAATTTGAAAACCATTTTCGGAATTCGAAATAGGAATTCAACCCATTGGACTAATTTAGTTGAACTTGTTCCACCAAACAACGCCTATCGTCACAATTTCCAAACATGTGTTAAAAGTTTGGTGCATTATATTGAATATTTTTACATGTGGGACACCTAGTGGGCAGCCTTGTTTGAAATGAGAGGCATTGCTCAAGAAAAAATGGGAACAGACAGATAAAGTTTCTCAAGAACTCTAGAAGCCCATGACCATTCTCTCTCAACTTTCTCTCTCTCTTCTCTCCACACTATTTAGTATTTATCCTTTTTTTGTTTTACATCTTCTTTCATATAAAATAATTAAAAAATAAATTTATTCAATAACGATCATTAACCAAAACATGTGATTTAAGTTAGGACGGATGGAATGGTTTATAAAAGAAGTACAATAAAAAGGCAAAAATATGGGTAGAGACCGTAGTGGAGTTTGAAGAGGCTTTTACTCCTATTTCATACGTCATTATTTTTTGAACGCAGTTAACTTGTTCCATTTGGCTTGAGTGGTAGAAAATTCACTTCTCAGAATTCATATGAAAGTTCACCCAGATTCAAGCCCGACGAAGGCACTAGCTCTTTGTGTGTCATTAGGTTGAGAACAAGACACTACTTTATAATAGAGTCAATAACAAAAAAGTGTTCTTGGGTACTCACAGGGCCTATCATTTTTAAAAATATACTTCACGGGATAGCTTAGAATATGTGAAAACTAACTTTGGAGTAATAGATATAATAATAAAACTAATAATAATAGTAATAGTAATCCTAATAATATCAAATCAAAAGGTTGGATGCAGGTAGAGATCGAAACCGATTGTAAGGAGGTTGTAGATGCATTGAATAACTCTTCTGATGATTGGTCTTATTTCTCTTCGATTATTACTGATTGTAAATCCCTATTGACTTCGTGCGATGAGATTTTTCATTTTCACTTTGTTTATCGCTCTGCTAATGAGGCGACGCATGTACTAGCGCGAGCTTCTCATTCACCTCAGAGCAGGGGAGAAATGTTCCCTTTGCTTCAAAAAAAAAACAACAACAACAACAACAACAACAATAATAATAATAATAATAATAATAATAATAATAATAATAGTAATAGTAATAATAATAATGAAGGAAAAACAGTCCCTTTAGAATAAATTTTTAGATATTTTAGAGTACCCCGAAATATATTTTTTTTTAAAAATAGGACATGAATGTTATTTCTACACCAATTTTTGAAAAGAAGATGATGAAAAAATAACGATGCAAATGAATATGATGGATTAATGAACGAAAAGTCTTTTTGGAATTGATTTTCACATATTTTTAAAATTGATTAAATCTATTATCACAAAACTACAAAACTTGAGGATACTCAAAGAAAGATTAACTCGTTCCAAGGGACCCTATGGGTGCATCATTTTATCCCTATTGTTCCTCTTCTTTTTTTCTTCTTTCCTCTAAAAAAAAATGATAGAATCTTTTTTTCTTCTTCTTTGACCTTTCAACTCCATCAACAACCTTTTCCGGGAATCGCCGTATAAAAGTGATCTCACGTCTGGATTCGAGAAAAGGGGGAGAGAAGAAGGAGAAAAACAGTTATGGTCGTGGATGCAGAAAATGGAAGAAACTAAGATCGCCATCGCCGCCGTCAAGAACGACGCCGTTCGCTCCTGCGTTTTCCTCTCTGGATTCTACTGCTGGGACTGGGAATTCCTCACCGCTCTGCTTCTCTTCAGTTGCTCCTTTTAGGGATCGAATCTCCGACAGTTACAGTTTTTCTAGCATAGATTTCTAGTTTAGCTCTCATAGATTCTATTCCGGAGTTCATTTTGTTTAGGAAAACCTTCTAGTGATTGGAATTTGGCCGGAGGAGGATGACGCCGAGGACATCTCCGGCGCCGTTTCTGGCGAAGACTTACAAGCTGGTGGACGATCGGACCACGGACGAAGTGGTCTCATGGAGCGACAGCGGCTCCGCCTTCGTAGTCTGGAAAACTGCCGAATTCGCCAAGGATTTGCTTCCCAAATACTTCAAGCACAACAATTTCTCCAGCTTCGTTCGCCAGCTCAACACCTATGTAAGCAAATCCTCTTTCCATCAACTTTTCGTACCTTGATTTCAGATTGTTTAATGTTTTCTTGTTTCGTATGATCTATCTTAAGATGTTTTCAATTTAGGTTTATTACTGCTGCTATTTTGACTTGTTCTTGAGGTTCTGCAAATCTGCAATTGTGTTTGTCTGTAATCAGGTTTTTAAGTATCATGTTCATGCTATTGAAAATCCTGTGTGACTTTGTAAGGGTATGTTCAGTCAATCCGATTAGTGGATCTAACAACTGCTTGATTATAGTATGATATAACTATTTGAAGTCATCAAATATTGCTAATTAAAAAATTCCATTAGAAAGATGAAAATTAGTTTCTTTTATTCGAATATAACTTTTTTTTAAAATAATGATTGAAGCATGATGTGTAGCTTTCAACTTTCCACCAAATGCATTGAGTAATAGAGTCTAAAACCATAGTCCCAACTGCAAGTAATAGACTTACTTAGAACTAGAAAACGGTTGGTTCTCATATGAAGACAAAGACCCTAGAGGTAGGTGCAAGTGCTTGGTTTAAGATATTGTTATAAAATTACTTTTTTAGCCTGGATCAATCCTCGCCTCTACGCACTAAACGATCCATTGTCCCCTATGACTTGTTCCCCGGATTTAGTGTCGTTGTTATGTTTAGGAAAGAGATACAAAAACAGAGAAATGAGAAGAAAGAGATGGAAAAGAGAGGATAAGTAGATGAATATGATAGATTTTGTGTCGTTTTGCGGGGGGGGGGGTGGTTGAAATTGAGGATGGGCACATTTCTCTCCACGAGGGAGAAGAAATAAAAGGAGGCGGGACAACCATTGCCATTTCTCCTCTTATCGAGTGTTCCACTTGTTTTTCAGGGTTTCAAAAAGACCGTACCAGACAAATGGGAATTTGCAAACGAGAATTTCAAGAGAGAAGAGAAAGAGCTTCTCCTCAATATCCGACGTCGGAAAACCATGACATCAGCTGCTGCCGGAAAAAAGAATGAGGCGGCAGCTGAGAGCTCAGCATTGCAGGAGAGCTCGGGCGAAGACACACCGGGCTCAAGTTCAACCTCATCACCCGACTCCAAGAATCCTGGATCCGTGGACACTCCAGGTAGGAAGTCACAGTTCATAGAGTTAACGGATGAGAATGAGAGGCTCAAGAGACACAACCGAACACTCAGCTCGGAATTGGCTCAGACCAAAAAGAAGTGTGATGAGCTGGCAGCTTTCCTGTCTCAGTACATGAAGGCTGTCCCAGAACAAACCAACTGCATCATGATGAACCGTGCTGAGTCTGCAGATGTGAGTTCAAGTGAGGATGAAGATGATGACGAAAACTGTGAGAAACTGAAGTTATTCGGTGTGTTACTCAAAGGGAAGAAGAGAAAGAGGGGCAATGATGAGAGATCTGCAGGAGGAGCACATACAAAGGAGATGAACAAATCTGTTGACTGCAATACTCATACTCCATGGTTGAAAATCTCTCCCGCTCACGTCGAGGGTGGCAAAGTCTGTAATTAACAGACTGACGATTCGCTAGTCCGCGATCAATAGCAACTACATTTCACAATGTTTGTGTTGGTCATGCCTCATTAGAATGAGGGGGGCATCAACAGGAAAGCTTTTAATGTAACAATAAGTATTATGTACTTAGGTTAAAATAATGTTTGTTTTCCTGTGTTTCATTCAGTGTCTTGTTAGGAGGGGTTTAACAAAATGCTGTTTTTTTACTTCTCATTGTACTTAAGGGTATTGCTGGAACTTAACAGTGAAATCATGTTGTAATAAATAATAATTGCTGCTAATTATGCAACTCAATCTTCTAGTTAAAATTATGCCTGAATCTAAATTTATACCTTCCTAGTCCTGTTTGTGTCTGCCACAAGTTGCATGGTTCTTGGAAAGCAAAAGGTGGGAATGGGTTATAGTGATAAACAAGAGATGCAAAAAGAATCCCATTGTCCTCAAGCTGTCCCAATGATTGCTGGTATTGGCTTCATGCTTAAATGTGGAAGGGCCTACAAGGTGTGAAGGAAGGGTTCACTCCCTTAGGGGCTTATTTTTAGGTCCTAGAGTATGATGAGTTGCCTGCACTATCCACCATCAACCATGCCCTATGTGAGTAATATTCACACTTGACGGTGAAAAATATCCACACCAATAAATTTTATCGGTGAAAAGTGTCTTGATATATGCTACTTCCTCCGTCCCCCTGTATTTGTCCACATTTGACTTTTGGAACTGTTCATCTAAGCACTTTGACTCATCAAATTCTCTCAATGTGTAAGCCTAAATATAGTCATGTGTGATCTTGTTTGATTTGTCTTAATATATAGATTATTAATATATAATTTTTATAATTTTTTACGGAGTAATATACAAATTACAAGATAAAATGGATTAAAGAAGTGCATTGGATGGTGTGTAAAAATGAAAGTGGACAAATAAAGGGGGACGGAAGGAGTATGTTTTAATTCACGGTGTACAAGAAGAATATTGAACCATAGTTGATGTGGTTCTACTTGAATCTTGGCAAGTTTGGATTCTGATAAGAATAGACGACAATACTCACCACTACAATTTGACTGTATCCAGTGGCGGAGCCAGGAGCTTACTAGCGGGGGGGCACACTGCGGGGTTTGGGGGAGGAGTTTTTCTTAAGGTAGATACAAAATGAAAAAAAAAAATTCAAATGTTCAAATCATTCAAAATATAACCATGACATCGTTATTATATACAGTATAAAAATTATTCTTTTTTCAAAAATACAGTTTGGGTATCTAATACTCTGACAATGTTTAGGAATGATTAACTCGTGAGTAAAGTAATTTTTACAAAAGTTGAAAGCAGAAGCATCATATATTTGTTTCTCCGAAATGATGTTCTATGTACAAAATGATGGTGAAGAAACACAAAAGTTAGTATGTCAAACAGATTAAAATGATTACTACCTAAAACAGAAGGTAGATTCTGAAAAGCAACGCAGTGCCAAACACAAGTGAAAACAAATTTAATTGTCCAGTCCTATAGTTCCAAATAAAATATTAGAAATCACCCTAAATAGGAATAAAACATAGAGAAAAGTACCAAAATATGTCTTTCATGTTTTTTTTTAAATAGGACTTTGCACTGTAGTAATCTGGGATTGTACATGTGCACATTACTATATTTTTTTGGTAAGGTACATGACCATGTTTGGTAATGTAAGTTCTATTTCGAGAATAAAAACATAGAAGTTGTATTTTAGTATATTTTCAATGTTTTAGTCCTAGTTTAATCCTTCTCCCATAAAATATTCCGTACTAGTTACTGAGTATATTATTACTTGAACACAAAACAAAATAGTTGGATGTCCCATATAAAATAAAAAAATACCAGTAATAAATAAACAAAAACTCAAACTAGAGATTACACAATCTCCGTCCGGCAATTAAATTACTACTCCTTTTTTTCTCTTACCAATACTTTTATTTATTAATGTGTTTTCATTGATTATTGAATAAAATAAAATATTTTTATCATCTCTTACTTTATAGAATTGACATAGTTTTTACAGAGTAATATGTACGAGTAAAATTTATTTTTTATTTTTATACTAATTTTTTAAGAAAATAATTTCAAAAGTACAAAAATTTACCTGGTAGCTCTAATAAATTGGGGGAGAAGAAATGAGAAAATATGAATTTATCATCAATCTTCACTAAAAAGTGAAACAGGCCTACCAAGTACTCTGTACCATTTTATACTCTATACAGAGTTTTTTTTTACCCTAGTCCGCTTTAACGTTTAGGCCCATATCTTTATTTATTAATCGAAGGATTCGAAGGGTAAACGATGTCGTTTTATATCACTGAAAAAATGCTACCACGCTGCAACAGAGAACAAGATTAGAATCTTTGAACCACTGTACAAGCAGCTGGCCGGCCTGGGAGGGCACCTCCATGGCCGATCGGAGCAGCCCACCACCAACCGGTAAATAATATCTCTACGCCGGCGCCTCGCCGGGGAGGGGGGGGGGCACGTGCCTGGGCAGCCCCCCCTTCCCTCCGCCCCTGGACTGTATCGTGACTTATCAGTCATTACAAACACAAACACATTATCCACACAAGCAGCATAAAATGTACGTACATTACTGCCAAGTAAACAAAGACTAATTATTAGTAATTTAAAATATCCTAATTATAATTTTTAAAACATATTTTTTTAAATAAAAAAAAGACTTAATTCATTAAGGTCTAAGGGCCTTTTTTCCTCTCTCGAGTTTGGACCATTAGATCCTCAAGACTGGTCCTCTAATTGAATTTTGTCTTGAACATTGTGATTTTGATTCAAAATATTTTTTAAAAACCTAAACTAATGTCGTTTGAGTTAGTTTATACTTACGTATCCCTTTCTTCCAAAATGAACTTATCAATTTTTTGGAAAGTTTCAAAAATATAATTTTCATTTTGTATTAAATGATTGAAAAATGGAGGGTGAACTAGAAATAGATAAAAAGCGGATGAGTAGAACATGAATTAAGCTAGGGGTACACCAACATGGGGTACCCCAAGTGTACAACAAAGCCAACACAGACACACACAGACACAAAGTATCTGTGTTGCACAGACATTTTGTGTTTGTGTGTGTCTGTGTTGGCTTGGTGTACACTTGGAGTACCCCATGTTGGTGTACCCCTAGCATTGCCCGTAGAACATATGTGGCTTTGGCGTCGATCGACACCATTGCTCCTGCTGGTCGGGGATAGACGTCTCCAGCATACGCATCTCAGTTCCATCTTCCTCTGCCCTCTCTCTTCCTTCTCCTCTTCTCTCCTTTCTCCTACTTTCAGGGTGGATTCCCGCCCACATCAATATTGATTTGATGTGATATAAAATGAAAACTGAAAACAATATAATTTTTATAATTGAATAAAAACTGACATATGTAAGCTTTCAAATGAGATGGACGAAGTACAAAATGTACATTATTTTTCACGAACATAAATACATATAGGTTTTAAAATCCCAATTATAGGCAACCAAATTTTTATGTTTCCTGGACTTCTATTAAAATGAATATAATTTCATGGGAGCACAATAAAAATAAGAACTCATTTGGTGAGCTTTAGGGGGTGTTTGTTTTTTCTGCGGGAAAAGGTCTGCAGTCTGCGGACCACTACTGTAGACATCTGCAGGAGAAGTGGTGGACCGAAGGTCTGCGGTCTGCAAGAAGAAGACTGTTTGTTTTTTAATGTCGGTACATTGCTATATAAATTAATAGTAGTAGTGTACGGTGGTGGTGTATGGACGATTGTGGTGGTGGTGGAGGGTGGTGGTGA